TAATTAATTAGTCTAATCTTATGGACGGACTCGCATCCTTAAAGAGACATGAACTTTAATTTCACTTTATGTTTGTGTGGGGCTGTTAAAGTGAATATGAGATGTCCCCGTTGGTTCCTCTTAAATGCATATTTACTTAATATTTTTTTATGGCCGTAAATGATACCAGAAGTGGCGTAACTCCACGCTGGAACACATATAAGCTTTAATACACATCACTATTCATGGTCCTTTAGGTCTATACCTGTTTACATGGCATATTGTCATTTTATATAAATGGTGACGCTTGACCCCCTCAAAAAAAAAAAATCAAAAACAAAACAAAAAAAACAAATCAAAACACCAATTGAAGTTGTGCAGTTTTTTTTTTTTTTTCAATTCAAAAAGAAAATTGCGTCAAACTTATATCTCCAAAGTCAGCCGGCACATGAACATTTTACTTTTATTCTTAAATAAAATAAAAAAAAAAAACTGGGTCCATTATATATATATATATATATATATATATATATATATATATATATATATATATATATATATATATATATATATATATATATATATATATATATATATATATACAACAACAATATTTTTACAGTTTAAACATGATCCAAAAACACACACACACATATATATGTGTGTGTGTGTGTAAAAATCCTATTGTTTTAACAGAGAATTGACTTATCACTGTGGATATACTGTGCTGCTATAAATAATTTTTTTTACTTGGTGCATCATCTTTAGGAAAAATCTAAGAAAATGTAAATAAAATGACAAGCTAAACTAAAACATTTTCACAGCGATTGTTTATTTTTGTTGGTTTTAGAGATAGTTTAAGAAAACTTAACAGTTGATTCAAATGGTAACGCCGTGAACGTGATTGGTGTCGGGTTTAAATTCAAAGTATGATTCAGCAACATGCTATTTTTCTTTTTAAAGAAAGGAAGAGCAGTGAAATGTTGCAACCTGCACAGCCTTTGGGCAAACTGTAACTTACTCATTTGTAAAGCTTGCTGAGATAGGCTGTGGTTCATTCAACACTAAACCCACCTTCAAACTTTAGATGGACACGGAATGGGACTTGTAATTATGGATCAATAGCTTCTCCGCAGCTTGGTATGTGTGTACCTTAATAACTAAACATTTTATACCTAAACAAACTCCGTTTTATGTGGTTCCATTCACTTTTTTATTCAATTTAAATCATTTCTGCCTATATCAACTATTTATTATCTTTTAGTTAAGGAATCGTTTTTTTCAGACACCCTTGTTGATACACAGTTGTACACACTTCCAACTTGATTAGCTAAGTTTAATAATAAAAGCGAATTCCATACAGAACAACTAAGCAGCTCACTATTTTAAAACTAAATACAGCAAAAATGAGTTTTAAAAGATAATTTCTGCAAATCTATGTGAATTTAAAGGTTGGGAACTTTAGGCTGGATTGGCCCATCAGCATCTAAATACACAATCTATGATGATTTTTTTGAAAAAGATTGTAATGTACAATAGAGGAGCATTACATACAGTAGAATTTATAGAAGTATGTGCTTTATTTCATGAAGTAAGAACAGTAGGGAGTTTTTTGTGTGTTTATTGGAGCAGAAGTGATGCCCAGGGCCACATGCAGGAGGATGGTGCCAACATGGTGACCTGCTAATAAGCATTTTTTTTTTTTTTTTTTTTAGTTAGTACAGTTAAAGTTAACAACAGTTTTATCTTGTAACTCCCTTTTTTTCAGTTCTTAAAATTGACAAAAATGTCTATATTTTCTAGATATATTTACAGCTGTTTAAAAAAAAAGGGACCCAAGTCATTTCAGGGTGTCTATTTGGTGGTGAAATAATATATATTTTTTAAAACGTCTTAAGATTCCTGCTGTCTCCTCTGACATGCTGAAGTGCAGGGTTATGAAAGGCATTTACCAGTTATTAAACTACAGAAATATGTGCACTAATTTAAAATAGTATCTGTGCAAAACATACATTTAATCAGAAGTTATATCAGAAACTTGCTTGTTAGCTCCCTGCTAAATTATTTAATCAAAAAAATTGAGACATTAGAATACAAGAGGTGATAAGCAGAGACACCTCCAGAAAGGAGCTTCATTTAGCCTGGCTGCTTTGACTGTTAATGCATATTTTTAGCCACACATTTAGCAAAAATAAATTAATTTGATTAACTTTTCCACTGCTTAAGCCACTGAGTCTGAAAAGAAAAATATATATTTATATATTTTTTAAACTAGCAAGTACTAATGTTTTCAAAAGAAGGCGGGGCCAGGATTGAGTGACAGATATTCAAATAGGGGTGCAATACAAAGTAAAATTAAATGATGTTATAAGTTGTTGAAGCATATAAAATGAATACATAAAACATGATATGCATATAAACCCGCCAGCTAATCTAGAAGGGTTTTCGTCACCCCATCTGAAGGACCACGGCAGATGGATAATAAATTAGCCTTTTTACAAAAAAAAAAAAATAAATCCCAAAGATATTTTTACTGGAATAACGACGACGAAGGAAACATAAGATGGTGGATTAATAAGGCTGTGGTGACCAGCCGTAGAATAAATATTTTTATTCCCCTTGTTGTTTCCACGCCAGGCCCAAGGACACGGAAACTGAAGAAGAAGAAGAACAGCAAGGAGGACAAGCGGCCCCGGACGGCGTTTACGGCTGAGCAGCTGCAGAGACTCAAAACCGAGTTCCAGGCCAACCGGTACATAACAGAGCAGAGGAGACAGTCCCTCGCCCAGGAACTGAACCTGAACGAGTCCCAGATTAAAATCTGGTTCCAGAACAAGAGGGCCAAGATTAAAAAGGCCAGCGGCTACAAGAACGGTCTGGCGCTGCAGCTCATGGCGCAGGGACTGTACAACCACTCAACGACCACCGTGCAGGAGGAGAAGGAGGAGAGCGAGTGAGGGCCCCCCCACCCCACCCCTCCTCGGGACATTTCCCCACGCAGGGCTGCTGCTGGGCTGGCTGACTCTGGACTCATGGAGATACATAAAAAACAGAACTGGAAGTGGGGGGATCGCTATTTAAAAACACAGATTTCTGTTTATGGTAACAGTATATGGACATAATTATATAAAAAAAAATGAACGACCGTTATTAAAATTTATATAGCCACACAGTTATCATGTTGTATACATCACTGCATATTAGATTCCAGGCTCAGATTCAATCCAACATTTTTTTTTTTTTTTTTTAGGGATGTCTGATTTTATAGGTTGTCTCGCTCTCCTCGTTCTTCATGTTTGCGCCATATTTCCCTTCAGCTAACCAGTCCACCGGACTCAGCCAAGCCAAAGATTTTTACTATGTTCACATGTAGTCTGAAATAAAACAGAAAGAAAAGAGCAAGACAGAACGGCCTAATTTACACTTTTTATTATTATAGAAATCCATTTGAATTATTCCTGTTATTATAGAAACATAAATTGCATTTTTCTTCTTCCTTTTTTTTCTCCCCTCCCAACTACAAGCTAAAACTTTACCCACTATTTAGTGTCAGCTGTTTCTTAAAATATGATTCAGTTTTTTTTTGTTTTTTTTTTAGATAGATTCTCGTGAGAAACAACAGTTTAACCAAAAGCTTTAACACACATGCATGCAGTTCAGGTACAGTTCCTGTTTCCAACACCCCGCCTCCCCCCATCCCACGCCTGGATACCGTTTCCCCCATTAAACTATTTTAGTCATTTACAAGTTTTCCCAATGCTGACGCTGCTCCAACCAGCTCATCGCTGAGCTTTAACCTACTCACCACAGAGGCCTTGTCCTTGTCATTTAGCAGTTTTTTTTTTTTTTTTTTTTTTTTTTTATTTGCTGCATGTTTGAGCCTGTCTGACCCCCTCAGGTTGAGGTTTACACAGTTTAGCTGTGAGCTGGCTGAAACAGAGAGTGTGTCGGTGCTTCTGGGTGCTCTACTCTAGAGGTCATTGGTAGCAGAGAAATCGAATCCCTTCTGGGAAAAAAAAACTAAATGATGGGATGAAAAATAAAAAAAAAGTCCTCAACTAGCTGGTTTGGTAAGTTTCAATTTGGATAAATATGATTTTTCCTTAAAAAACAGGCTTCAGACTCACATTTTCAACATAAGCTATACATATAGTTGCATAAATGATACAAAAGTTGTGTCTTCTCAAGTAAAAACTGCTTGATTATTTAATATAAATACATTCAGAATATATCTCCTCAGAAAAATTACACATGTGCTAATATGTATAATATATAGAGATTTTTTTACATACTTTAGGTTATCCAGTTTCACCAGAAGCGAATACCCCGCAGCCTGTACTCTGGGTCCCTGAGCAAGACCCTTAATCCCCGATTGCTCCCCGTGCGCCACACAATGGCAGCCCACTGCTCCTCAACGGGATGGGTTAAATGCAGAGTTGAATTTCTCCAATGTTAGATCAATAAAGTTCGATATTATTATGATGATTATCAACTCATAGGGAGCCGAGATTTGGAGTGGGCATACATTTGGCTAAAATTTCAGACTGTCATCATACCCGCCTATGACTGATTATTATGTAAAATTTGTTAGTAATGAATAACTGGCTTCATTTTCACACTGATCCAGGTTTTCGTGTTGTTTATGCCAAATTCCGACTCCACCTGACCCTCCAATTAAACTGAAAGTTTAATTCAAGAGTTATAGAAACCATAATCTTTTCTAAAACATCATTGTCCAATTTTGGTGCGTCCTTGTAAATTACAGCCTCAGCACCCGTTGTGGTCGTCTACTTTAAGGCTCGGAGAAGGCATTCCACATACTTTGGTTTTTCAGAATCTTTGCGTTCTCCTCCTGACCTGTTGGCTGCTATCTCCTCTGACCTATGACCTCCGCTCTCTGGATTAGTTTTTTAAGTTCAGACAGAGACAATTTTGAATAAAAAAACAAACATAAGCATTTCCTGTAACACTGAAACCTCCTAAATAAGTGACTAAACTACAAAAAGTGAGGGACGTTTTACCTTGTTTGGTAGAAATTGTAGGTACGTTCTTGAGGGATGATCCAGGCATCTCGTTCTGTCAAAGATGAGGAAAGTGTTGATGTTTTAGGGTATTTGTTTTTACTTAAATTAGATGCAATAGTTGTCTACGGTTAAATGGCTATGAAATATGTCAATAGACGCCCATTGCTTGGAGAAAAGTGTGAATGTATGTCGAAATTTTATGTCCCTCATTACAAAAAAACCAAAATGGGAGAAAAACAGAGCTCATAAAACCCTGCAGTGTTAGGGAATGTGTCAGGAGTCTCACAACGACATAAATTACACAAAAGCTTCTTCGGTTTTAACAATAGAAAGAATAAAATAAAGCGTTTTAGGGGGAGGAAAATGCTTCTGTACTTTCTGTAACTTTCTGTACCATGGTCAAAAATGCAAAGAAATACCTAAATGAGCCTCAGGGATGTCAGGTTCAGTTTTTTTTAAATACAAAAGTAATTTCCTGTAATAGGAGCTAATAAGGCTGACTGCACATTCCTATCATTTCTGCTCATCACACAGTTTAATTCCGCTGACCTATGATCAGTTTTATTCAATTAAGGGCTAACGAGGCTGTGAAAGATCTGCAGCTGAGGAGTTCAAGGCCTTTGCTGTTTTTGTGTGACTTTTTTCTAATTATTTGTTCTTTGATTTTTTTCTCAGAGAGCCGAGGGTTAGCAGGCGCGCATTGTCGAGGGTGATTTTAATTGATTTCAGGGACGAGCAAATGATTCACAAGCAGGTTTAACCTTGTGAGTTTAAAATGCATTTGTTTATATTTTTTGCATCCATTAATTGCAAAGTGTGCATAAATCTTAACACTTCAACATAAGAGCATATTTGTTGATGATTAGTTTAATCTTTTAGTTTCTTGCTTTGTTTTCAGAATGCAGTGGTTGTTTCTAGATGGCTTTGTATCAGATGCGAATAACTTCCCCTTTAATAACCATCTGTCTGCCTGCAGCATCTCCTGCAGCCAACAGAAACCTCCAGAGGTCCTTCAGTTAGGCCTAATTTGATATCACTGTTTAGCATCATATTTGAATATTCATAGGACTTTATTTTAGTTGGACATCTTCTAATTCAGCCTGCAATTGCTAACGTAGCACAAAATACTTTATGAGTAATATTCTGCACCTTTGCATTAGGAGAAGGAAGGAATTTAATAATAGCAATAAAAAAAGGTTATGTTTAGAAAACACACACACACCTAATTTGATTCTGAATGCAGTCTCTCCGGCCATCTGGCCTGCATGTGTGAACAGAGGTGGCGAGAGCGCCTCACTCTTCACGGTCAGCTAACCCTGTAGCTCTAATATTATCATGATAGTCCCATTCCCCCGCTGTGAATGCGGAAGAGACTCTTATGACAGTGTATTTAAAATTCATACAATTATGAAACAGCGGGAGCATTTCTCTGCCTCGGCTGCCCTCCCTCCCACCTTGTCACCGAGGAAGGCGAGGGTTTATCTGTAAAACAAAGAAAAGCCAGGGATCGTTTGCATAGTTAGCATAGTCTGCCTTGCAGGCACAATATGGATTTAATTTATATGCAAATGAAAGCAATAAAAGGGAGAATACACACTGGAAATCTCTGCTCTTTAATAGGGAGGAAGAGTTGGATTTAACGCAGGTAGTGCACATCCACAAAATGAGGCATGAAGAGCCTGGGCTGAGAACAACACAGTTATATAACTTGGAGAAAACAGCAGCAGAGCAGCACAAACAGCCAGGGCACAATTTAATAAGATTTACTGCAAAATTATATGAAGCAGTGAATAACATCAAGTCACCAGGAATACAGAATAACATATATCTGTGAAGCCTTGATGTTTTTAAGTTCATTTACTGTCATAATCTGTCATTTTCCATTTCCAATAAGCATTCTTCTCCATAATGGTAGGCTAGGTAGAGAAGGAAAAAAAAAATTAAATTTTTTTATTTCAGTAATTTATTTGATATAAAAATACTTAGCGTACCGTTAAAAAAAAACACATCTACTCCTTTTAAAAAGCAGTTTAGGAATATCCTTGGACCACGATGGGACCACACAATAACTGTGCTTCCTGTTGGAGCTACAAAGGCATAGAGAAACATACAATAAAATACTCAAGCATGCATGAAAAGGAAGACACACACACACACACACACAGACAAGGACAAAGCCATTTCAAAGAGCTTCTTAGATCACCACCCTGAGACGATGGAGGTGCAATGTTGAGCATTTTGGAGTAATTCGTTCCGAGCTGTAGAAGTAAAGGGAGACAAAGAGAGAAGCCCTTCATGTGTGTCCCTCCGTGCCGTTTTTCCTTTAGTAATTGTAAAAGCTACACCTTTCTCCATCTAAAACACGAATACAGACAAACAATAGACGAAACAAGAGAAGAAAATGACTTGTTTTTACTGGCTATTTTTTTTAATTTTCTGTCTTTTTAACTGGGATAAAAAACATGTTTTACATTAAAAATATGTCTTTTCTGAGTGTGCTAGGCAAATTAAAAACACTTGCAAGCGCAATTTAGGTGCAGCTGTGGCTTTTTAATAAAAATAAAAACAAAATTGAGCAGCTGATACAGTCAAACGATAAACACAGCAGAATAATATGCTTTCAGTATCAATTATGATGCAAATACCAGAAGTTTAAAAAATAAGATAATTAAAAGAGAGAAACAGCAAAACCTAAAAAATAATTCTTTGATATCTAATTTTATGGTCAGTTTTTTGATGAATTAGATTATTTATAAATATTTAAATCCTAATTTTAATGAAACCTGAATGTTTACTTTAATACAGACATAAAAAATATATAAAATAGTTTAAATGTAATTACACAAAAAGTCACAATTAACAAAGGATGTCTCCCCCATTAATGCTAAAGAGTCAGCCTTACCTTTAGCAACAATTCCTCCAGGTTTTTATTTCTAATAAATTCAAAAATATATATAAATTTACAAAGCAACAAATTACTGTTTTAGGAAATGTACAATTAAATAAAATGCACATTCATCCATAGTTGACAGTAATTTTTTTTAACTAAAGCTAAACATGTTTTTGGATAGATTTTCAAGAGCTAGTTAAATTTTTTACAGTAACTACATATATTTATCTTTATATGCTTAAACGTAGTAATCATTACATTATAATATAAAAGTATTTTAGTGGTTTACTATAGATAAAGAAATAAAAATTATATAGGGAAAGAAATAATATGAAAACAAACTGAATCATCATGGGATCAAAAACAGTTGCACTATTTGTGCAAATTTGGCTTAGAAAAGATCTGCAAAAAAAAAAATTCATATAGTTTGATTCTCATTTTTTTAGTTCTTTTTTTATTATTTTTTTTGCTGCAGGAGTACACAGCCTGCTTCTCACCACGAGGGAAATTTACTCTTTGCTTATTGTGGCCTGTCAACGGGACCACACTATCTCAGAGTGACACACACAAATGGACAAAGGTGGCATTGAGAGGGAACCTCCCACAATGCAGCTGAGCATCAAGGGGGGCTCTTTGCTCCAGCAGCCGTGATCTCACCGCGCTAAATCCAGATTACATGGGGGATATACACAGCGCCACTTGTTTACACTGCTCGTCAGGGGGTGATTTGAGAGGAGCGTCGGGCATTGATAACCCCGCATGTAACGCAACCAGCCCACTTCAAAGTTAATGTCAATTGTCAAGTGTACTTTTTATTTTCTTTTGAGGCTTATCGTTAATCACCTTATAGATTAAAATAAAAAATAAACAGACAAATAATAATTTCTTTTCACGATACTAGTTTTACCCTGAAACGTTACTTTTCATGGTTAATTAACATTTCATAGCTTCAAAATACAACTAGTGCAAAAGTTACAGAGAGAGTTAAAAGGTCTTTCATAGAAATGTTATCCCAAAACTGCAGAAAACAGACAAACTAAAGTATTTTCTGTGTGTGAACACATTGTGTGATTCTCAAATCCACGCTAATAAATACATATTTTGCAGAGACGTGTGAATGCACACAGTTATCCACCTGGGACTCCACTGGTGTATGGGTGGTCGCATACACCTCTGCCTCTTCTTGATGTCTTTCAAATGTGGAAACCATTTACCTTCTCACTCCTCCCTCACTTCATCTCATCGTCAGGGTAAGACACTCGGAAAGCCGGAGCCGTGAGAACGGGATGGCCATCGATGAAAATGTTGATCGTCCTTAAATCCGCTGACCCACATCCTCTATGCGCTGTAAAAGCAAAGCAGAACATTCTATGGAGATCGGCATGCTGGTTTCTACTGCCAGTAGTGGTGAAAACATCGAGCAAGTGTGACCCGTGACCGTATTTCAGCAGGTAACTAGCCAAAATGTAATACTCTTTTAATCTATGAAGCCATTTGTTAGTTTATTTATTAGAACAAAAAACAATAGTTGACTTGTGTGTCCGTGTGGTTGGCTACCCTCATGCCCTCTTCTCACACTTCAAAAGCACAAGCGCCTATGGATCTCTGCCTGCCTGCCTTCCCCATTCTGTCTTTCTTCGCGGCGGCCCAGAGGTGCCGAGAGGTGATTCAGGGAAGCGATTTGTCATATTCAATTTACATATGGCTGTCACAAAACTCCTCCAGGCTGAGCAGTGATGTCATCGGTGCGTGGGGCCCTCTTTGGCGACCCGGTGCATGGGAAGACTTCTCCCTGTCATGGGGGGTAGAGAACCTTTCCCTCTTGGGAGCAGCTTCACCGTTCCTGCAGCATGATAAATGTGGGGTAGCAGTTTTCTATGTGTCTGTGTGTTTATAGGCGGTGATGTTGGTGGATGAGCTTTACTTTTTCCTGTGTATACAGCAAAATACTGGTCCAACCCTGAAAGAAATCAGGCAGGAAGTGTTATCCTAACTCTTGCTTAAGGTTTGTCTTTATATTGACAGAAACATCTCTAAAGATCAACTCTTGGTTCCTACTGAGGAATTTATGTTCATTGAAAATTCTTTGGGTTCACATGAGGAATGTTTGAATATAACCAAATGCATTATTAAGTTACATTAGGCTTTTCACCAAAAGCATAAATGTGAGTCCTACTGTATATTTTATGTATCTCACCGATGTCTCTAATACCCCATCAGTCTAATTAATCCCTGGATCTAAATAGAGTGTAAATGGATCTCTAGCTGGTCCATTCCGCATTAATTTGTTCAAAATCCTATGTTAGGCGCCATCTTTACTACAAGCTCTTGACAAATGTGCAGCATTAATTCTTAATTGTAAATGACACTGCTGTATGCAGACTCTCTCACTGAGCTTCACTCACCTCTGCATGCCGAGTGCTTAAAGTGATTTCCACAACAGAGTAAGGGTGTGCAAAATAATCGTCATAACGATGCATTGCGATTCTAATTTTTGTGATCTACTGCATCGATTCTTGAAGGCAAAAATCGATTATAAAAAAAAAAAAAATGAACAAATAAAATACATTAATGGTTGGCGCACATCAGCCAAACCAAGTGGAATACAACTTCCAGTCCAGCAGATGTCGCTGTGGATGTGTTGACGCCCGCTGCTTTGTGTCACAAGCATGTCCGGCCGTGGGATACTGCGATGAGTCATATGAAATAAAACATGGAGGACACTATGAAAATTCGCCCCGCGGTTCCATCAAATTTCAAGTCAGATGCTTGGATGCATTTTGGCTTTAAAAACTAAGAAGGTAAAAATGAAATTGATATGATGCACGTCATTTGCAAAAGGGGAAATATACATTTAAATGTTTTCATTTTATTAGCTTAAAGCACCGCGATGCATCGCAATATTTCAAGTATCGTGATGCATCGTGATAGAATCGCATCGTGACTTCTTTGCCAATACCCACCCCTACAACAGAGTAGTGTAAAGTGTTTTTAAATTGAATGTAATACATCTAATATTAATAAGTATTACTATTTATAGAATTTATGAAAGTCTGCTAAAATATGAGTCTTAATAAATCATAGAAATACAAATCTAATAATAATAATTTCATTTTTATTGCAAATTTAAAGAAATGTAAATATTTCTAGGGTCAATACCAAAATGATAACAGAAAAAAATAAACAGTAATTAACAATTAACGCAATCAGTATTTTACTTGCTTAATAATCATACAAATGTCTATTTAGAAATGATTTGATCTAACTAAATAAAAAACACAAAGGGAAAAAGTTGTTAAAGGGACATAGTTATGTTTAATAACATTTTATTTTAATTTATGAAGCAGTAGCTAAACATAACCACATCCTGCTAGCATATTTTTTGTTTTTGCAAAGTTTTTTGTAAATAAAGTCCTTTGAACCTACAATAACAGGTACAATCCTGTACATGTGTGCCTGGGGGTAACTATGAAGTAATGTGGCTAAGCTAGTTAGCCCTTGAAATGATGAAGAAAACTCCCGATATCCAGAATGGAAAACAACAAATGTTGGCGTTCACTGAAGCGGGAGCTAAAACTATGGATGCATTCAGATGTTGCTGCAGAGTTGATAGATGCTTGAGTAAATGTTATCATAAATACATCTCCTAGAGTTAGCAATACTACTCTTCATAGGGAAACAGCATTTTAATAAGTTTAATTTGGGTTCATTACAATAAATAAGCTTTTACCCGTTTACTTTTTTATAAATATATTTAACTGAAATATTTTCTTACCTTGATGATGTGTCCCTATTTGATTTTTTTAGTC